AACAACAATGACAAGAGTCAGAATGAAACTTAGCCCCCCTTTTTTTCATTTCCCTCCACCTCCTCCCCCCAAGATTACTTTTCCATCTTCTATTTTGTTAAATATTTTCTTAAAGGTCATTAGGTCAATGATTGATTACCTTTCTTTCCGCTTCTAATTTTTGCTGTTTCTCAAGTTTTTCAGTTGCTCTTGCTTCTCTCAAACCTTGATGTTTGGTTCGTTTGTACGCTTTTACATTAACGGCAATTTCTTTCAAAGTTGGTAAATTGTTAAGTACGTCGATTCTCATTGCGATCCGAGCTGCTTTCCTACAAAGTTGATGCAAAGCAAAATGTTAATCGTCACGAAATGTCACGTGATAAAAATTCCAAAGAATTTAAAAGAAGCCAATTTTACCTGTTTTCTCTTTCTTGAAGAATTGTGAGAGGATCTAATCCCATGGGTTTAGGTATTGCAGTGACTCGATTTTGTTTGGCCGGCGTTTGACCGGGCTGGGGTACGGCCGTCGTCGTTCCAGGTCGCACGGTCGTGGGAGGAAGAGATCCGTGTTGAGGTTAAACGATACCTCCAGGTTCTAAAATATTAAAATTACCGGATTTCTTATGGGATCCTCTTGTTTTCCAAGCATTTCTTAAATTCCATGCAAAATATATGGAAAAAAAATGTACTTGAAATGCGGCCAATATGAAAACATACCATAGTAAACCATAGGGTAAACCTTGCCACAATATAATATCATCGTTTACTCCTGATCTAAGATAAGTCCAAACTTCATGGAAATAATACATGGCGCCAAATAACGTGGTACCAAAACCGAATATTATAATTCCGTATATACATATTTATTGATTAATAACGTTTATTTTATTTTTTTTAATTGCTGACAGGCCGAAAAAAGTGACAATTATTGAAAGACACCATAAATGTTCCCAGAGTTGGGGTTTTGCCACTTGAAGTTCTTCTATTTCCAAAATGAATATATCTAATCTATCGAGGATGTCTGGTAATAGTTTTGCAAACATGGCAAAAAAAATGTAAGTAATAGAAGAAAATACAATATTTTAATCTTGATTTGTTTAGTGCACTGAAATAAAAAGAAAAAAAAAACAATTAATTATTGTATATCAGTCTATAAATAATGATTTAATTTCTTAAACTTTTTAAGAAACTTTTCTATAGTATCATTTTCCTTTTTTCATAAAACTCTTAAGTTTTAGGAGCAAAAAACTGGTCCAATGCAATTTTGACCTCATTGTCATTTTGGAATTTTTGTCCATTCAAAAAATTTTTTAGGGATCAGAAAAAATGATAATTATTTGGAGCTAGTTTGGGACTATATGAAGGGTGCAGAAAAACATCCCAGCCTAGCTCCAGTAATTTTTGTCCAGTGGCTAAAGACGGGGAGGGCCTGGCATTATCGTGGTGAAAGACAATTCCTTTGTTATTGGCTAGCTATGGTTGTTTTTCTTGGATGATATCATTTAAATTTGTCAATTGTCGAATGTAAACCTCTGAATTTATGATCTGATTTCGTGGCAGCAGCTCAAAGTCGACTATGCCTTTGTAATCCCACCAAAATGATAACAATAACTTTTTTGGTGAATGTCAGCCTTAGAAGTTCTAAGGTGCCTGTTACCTTGCCTAGACCAGGATCTTTTTCTCAAAAAGTCATCATAAACAACCCACTTTTCATCTCCGGTGACCATTCTTTCAAAAAAGGGTCATTCGCATTGCATTTAAGAAGCATATTGCAAAGACCCATCAAGCTTCTTTTGGTACCCAAGACGCCGCAGACGGTTTTTGACGAACGTATGTGACTCATCTAGCTTCTTTACAATGTCCTTAGTCGAACTATGCCGATCACAATCAATGAGGGCCTTTATTTGCTCATCATTAACCTCCAATGGACGCCCGGAGCACTCCTCATTTTTCAAAGGAAAATCTCCAGAACGGAATTTCGCAAACCAGTTTTGACACTGCCGTTCTATTAAGGTTTCATCCCCCTACACGGCCCACAACTTTTTATTGGCTTGTGAAGCATTAACACCCTTTCAGAAATAAAAAAGCAAAATGTGGAGGAAATGCTCGCTTTGGCTCCCCATGTTTAAATGTCTTTTGCTGGCGCACTATTTAAGAGTTCATTGAAATTTTGGTACTGAATGTTACGGAAGGAACCAAGTAATAACATACCAAAAGTTCATGTTTGTACATAAACGTAAACGTACTCAAAAAAATGGACAAACTATCTCTTAGCAAAATGCGAAGTTACTTACTGGCCAACCCAATAATTTACATAAAACAAATTATTTAACGAAAATATTCATGTATTGGCTACGTTAAAAGCTTCCATATTTTTATAAGTTCCACGTTAAAGTGAAATACATTTTTCTAATGACACTTTATTTACCATCGATATAATTAAGTTTAAATTGATGTCTATGGTTGTTTACATATATTACTATTATTTTTACTATTTCCCATTGTGAGTTATTTTTCCTGTATTAATTTCAAAAAAAATCGTAAAATTTGTTTTTAAAGAAATTACAAAATGCACGGGAGAGTCAAAATAAGAACGACAGAAGAACAAAAAGAAATCGCAAGGCAAAAGAAACAGAAAAAGGCAAGAGAAACAAAAAAAGGCAATAGAATTTAAAAAAATAATGAATCAAATATTATAAAAATGTTCTTCACAAATGCACGACGAAGAAGGTTTAAATCTCACCGGTAATTTATTAACAGGAAATCCTGATATAATAACATTATGGAATTATAGAAGAGAAATATTTTTGTCGTTGAAAAACGACGAGGATTTGGAAAGTTATCAAAAACTATTGGAAAAAGATTTACAATTGACAGAACAGTGCCTGAGAGTAAATCCAAAATCCTATGGTAGTTGGCATCTTAGAATATGGATCTTGGACAATTTGCCCAAACCTGATTGGAACAAAGAATTAAACCTTTGTACAAAATATCTTCAATTAGACGAAAGAAATTTTCACTGTTGGGATTATCGTAGGATAGTCGCAGAAAGATCAAATGTTTCTCATTTATCTGAATATGAATTCACTCTAACATGAATACTGTATTAAATTATGTATGTATATGTACATGTGTAATTATGGGAGGCAGGGCTGAAAGTGATACCTCTGGAATGCCTCCCACATGGTTGAGGGGAGTATCCCAATTGGGTGGAGTGGATCTCTGCAACAGCCCATGCGAGATCTGATGATTTCGGCTGTGAGAGAAGGGTTGAGGTTGAGGCTGAAATGGGAGTCATACTCCTGTGACTGCCCCTACTCCCCAGGAAAAAGTGCAGCAAAGCACATCCAGGAGTTTTAGTTGGGTAGTGACTTCGTCTGAGTTTCCCAACACTCTTCCTGCTACCGGGTGGGGAGAGGTTAGTGCGAAATGCTGCATTTCTCTTGGGTTAACAAAAAAAAATTTCAAACGTTAAATAATAATAATAATAATAATTTTTTTTTTTTTTTTATTAGAATCTATAAAATTTATAGCAATTCAAAATATTATTTTTTGTGCCAATAATAATAATATTTATTATTATTCTGCATGTCTCTAATCCCTCTGTCCAGACAGCTTAATATCAAGGATCAAGGATATGAGTTTGTACCGGGAGGCAGGAAAATCACCCATATGCTGTATATGGATGACTTAAAAATTTATGCAAAAAATGAAGACGAGTTAAATAAAATGCTAAAAACGATTCAAACTTTTTCCTCTGACATTAACTTGAAATTTGGTTTGGAAAAATGTGCAAAAGTTAATATTGTCGGAGGAAAGTTAAAATGGAAGGAAAATATAGAAGACTCAGAAGAAGAACTTATTAAAGACCCTGGATCAACATACAAATATCTGGGGATTGAAGAAAATTTTGGGGTAGCCAACAAAGAAATTAAATCTCGAATGGACAAAAGAAGAAATCACGCACCTAAACTGAAGAACAAGGAAAATATTAACTATGAATGGTGCATTACATCCAATAGCTGATGTGGATAGATTATACATCAGCAGGAAAGATGGAGGAAGAGGATTACGACAAATAGAAGCACATACCAGAATGCCATAATTGGAAAAGGGAAAATACATAGAATCACATCAAGAGGACCCTATCTTAGCCCAAGTTATACATATATAACAATAAAAATTACAAAAAAAGGAGAACTGAAAAGGGCAAAACAAATCGTCCAAGAAAATAAAGAAAACGAGATAATGGAAGAAGGGCAACTTTCAACTTATGATAGCAAAGCCCAATCTCAGAAGAAATTATGTCAATATCTCCATTGGAGTATATGCCGAGAATATGGAATGGATGGATTACCCAAGGAGTGGTACAACCACATTCCAAGCCTGATTACTACAGCAGGTTCATGTTCGGATCTGTACGATCAACAAATCCACACTGACAGAACTGTGCCAGCTAACAAACCGGATATCATTCTCAGACATAATGCGAAAAAATGGTGTAAGTTAATTGAAGTATTCGAAGAACCGAAGAGGAGAAAAACACCAGACAGCCAAAGAAGCAGACAAAAGGCTGAAATATAGAAATTTGGAAGATGTAACGTTCACAGGACATTAGGGAATCAGAAGAACTTCTCCCGTTGTGTCTTGCTTCCTTTTATATGTGAAACTCATAGTTATTATTATGTTTCTATGAAACGAATAACTATGTTTGTGAACAAACAGAAGAATAAGTTTCTAGAAGCTTCTTTTTCATAATAAACACTTGGTAACCATAGTTCTAATGTTATTATTTATAAATAAAATAAAATTATAAACATTTACTCTCGTGATCACAACAATATATATAATTTTAGTCTTATTAAATATTTACAAAAAATAATTTTGCTTTAAAGTATAGTTATTTTATAATTTAAATTTTATTCCTTTTAATACATAAGTTAAACATGAAAAATATGGGTTTTTTTTTTCTGACCAATCACAACCATTTCTCATTATGTTTACAAAGCACGCCATTGGTTAAAAATTGTATTGAAAATTGCATATACTCTAAATGCAAGGCGTTGAAGCGAAACGAAACTATCGAAAAATTGAGACCTCCTAAATATTATGTTTTACTGATACTCGGAACCAATTTTTCACTCATTTTTCGTGATTTTTTTTCGTTTGCCTTACTTTTTTGAGTTATGCAATTTGTCGTGTTCACGCGTATTGCAAATTGCATAACCAAAATTTTTAAGGATTTTTGAATTTTTTCGATTTTTTCCGTCCGCCTTACTTTTTTGAGTTATGCAATTTGTCGGGTTTCGCGTATTGCCAGTTGCATAACCCAATTTGTATAAAAATTCTGTTCTTATAAGTTTTTCTTTTATGGGAATAAATGAATGATATAACCAAACATGCATGGTGGGAAAAAAAAAAAAACAAATTTTATTTTTTTTTAAAATAATATATTTGAGAGAATAAATACATATATTACTATATTATTATTATTATTATTATCATTATAAATTTGAAAAAAAAAAAAAAAACGGAAAACTTAATAATCGTTTGTGGCAAATTTAGTAGTTTATGTGGCACGATTAAGAAAAATATACATACATATATTTTATAAATATATGTATATAATATAAACGTGGCCAAATATAAATCAAACGTTCAATCATCACTTAAAATTTAATTACAGGGTTAAAACGAGGTTTCTTCTATGACGACAAACAACCGAACCTGATTTTTTCTAATTATTCCTCTTTCTCGCCTTTCCCTCCCTCCCTTCCTCCCTCTTTCCCCTTCTTGCCTTCTCGCTTTTTCGTACTTTTTTCCAAAACGAAATCGTAGCCATTATTTAAATTATTTGAAAATATAACAGAAACGTTTTTGTCACCTCTCCTCTCCTCTCCAAAAGGTAGACATCATCTTGTTTCGCTGTCTGATACTGTCACTCCTGAATGTGCCGGCTCGTCTTTACTGGTCCTTTCCTAAATGAAAGAAAAAAAATGTAATAACAATTAGTAAAGACAAATGTAAAAACTTTATAAAAATTTTCTGTTGTTTCATCCGCGTTCTACCTACTTACCATCGAGTAAAAACGCGCGTAATTTTTCTCTCTCTCTCTCTCATTTTCACCTTTTCTCCACTCATCAATCTTGCAAAAAAGAAACCGTGAATTTAAATATTATCGTTCTAACCCTAAAAGGAAACTTTTTTATTTGGAATACTTCGTACGAGAAAAACTACAAAAAAAAACGTTTCGGATGATATCGTCGCGTTAAAATCATCGTGCAATTAGCAGACGATGAAAATTATATATAGAAAATTATCGGTACTAATAATAATAATAATAATATTAAGTTCATCAATCAAACTGTCAGATGAGCGAAAAACCTCACATTATTGAATTACATTTTATACTTATTTTAGTTTTTCTTATACTTTGACTAACATTAATAATAATAATAATAATAATAATAATGATATTGATGACAATATCGACAGTGATAATAATAATAAAATTATCTAAAATCAATCATCGAGTCATGAAATTAAAATAAATAAATAAAAAATTTAAAAAAATATCATTTTTTTAGATTATTATTTCTCTTAATCTAATTCATTTTTTTCTCCTTTATCCTCTCTACCCTCCGCAAACGAGGACGTCATTTCCGTTCTATACGAAAAACCAAAAGAAAAGATTAAAAAACGAAAAGAAAAACTCGAATTTCCCAAGCATTGTGCGCTGCGAAAATCATTTCGACCGAAAATTCTTTTTTTTCCTATTTTCTTCTTCCTTTTCCTTTTCTTTTCCTTTTGGTTTCTTCTTTTTCCACCTCCTCCTCCTCCTTCTTCTTCTTCTTTTTTCCTCTTTCCAATCAATCATCTTCGTCTTCGTCATCGCTATTCGTGTACTTTGGTTGAGTTTTCCTCCTTCTCGTGCGTCCTCTTCCCTCTCCTCCTCTTCCACCTTTTCCACTCTTTATTTTTATTTTCATTCTAACGGATTCCGATTCGGAATTTCCATCCTCGTCGTCCACCGTCTGAAAATTTAAAAAATCAAAATAAATAAAATTCGACAAATAATAAAATCCGAACGACGGGATTCTCTCATCATCACCTTTATCCTCATCCGTTTCCGCATCCTGTTCCAATCTTTGTCTCGCGTTCGTAAACACGGATTGAAGTACGATCGAATCTTCGTGTACGAGAGAAGGTTCTTCGTTGAATATTTGAGGATTTTTACACATTTGAGTGAAATCCTTTTCCAAATTGTCAAAATTAGGTCAATGATTGATTACCTTTCTTTCCGCTTCTAATTTTTGCTGTTTCTCAAGTTTTTCAGTTGCTCTTGCTTCTCTCAAACCTTGATGTTTGGTTCGTTTGTACGCTTTTACATTAACGGCAATTTCTTTCAAAGTTGGTAAATTGTTAAGTACGTCGATTCTCATTGCGATCCGAGCTGCTTTCCTACAAAGTTGATGCAAAGCAAAATGTTAATCGTCACGAAATGTCACGTGATAAAAATTCCAAAGAATTTAAAAGAAGCCAATTTTACCTGTTTTCTCTTTCCTGAAGAATTGTGAGAGGATCTAATCCCATGGGTTTAGGTATTTCAGTGACTCGATTTTGTTTGGCCGGCGTTTGACCGGGCTGGGATACGGCCGTCGTCGTTCCAGGTCGCACGGTCGTGGGAGGAAGAGATCCGTGTTGAGGTTAAACGATACCTCCAGGTTCTAAAATATTAAAATTACCGGATTTCTTATGGGATCCTCTTGTTTTCCAAGCATTTCTTAAATTCCATGCAAAATATATGGAAAAAAAATGTACTTGAAATGCGGCCAATATGAAAACATACCATAGTAAACCATAGGGTAAACCTTGCCACAATATAATATCATCGTTTACTCCTGATCTAAGATAAGTCCAAACTTCATAGAAATAATACATGGCGCCAAATAACATGGTACCAAAACCGAATATTATAATTCCGTATATACATATTTATTGATTAATAACGTTTATTTTATTTTTTTTTAATTGCTGACAGGCCGAAAAAAGTGACAATTATTGAAAGACACCATAAATGTTTCCAGAGTTGGGGTTTTGCCACTTGAAGTTCTTCTATTTCCAAAATGAATATATCTAATCTATCGAGGATGTCTGGTAATAGTTTTGCAAACATGGCAAAAAAAATGTAAGTAATAGAAGAAAATACAATATTTTAATCTTGATTTGTTTAGTGCACTGAAATAAAAAGAAAAAAAAAACAATTAATTATTGTATATCAGTCTATAAATAATGATTTAATTTCTTAAACTTTTTAAGAAACTTTTCTATAGTATCATTTTCCTTTTTTCATAAAACTCTTAAGTTTTAGGAGCAAAAAACTGGTCCAATGCAATTTTGACCTCATTGTCATTTTGGAATTTTTGTCCATTCAAAAAATTTTTTAGGGATCAGAAAAAATGATAATTATTTGGAGCTAGTTTGGGACTATATGAAGGGTGCAGAAAAACATCCCAGCCTAGCTCCAGTAATTTTTGTCCAGTGGCTAAAGACGGGGAGGGCCTGGCATTATCGTGGTGAAAGACAATTCCTTTGTTATTGGCTAGCTATGGTTGTTTTTCTTGGATGATATCATTTAAATTTGTCAATTGTCGAATGTAAACCTCTGAATTTATGATCTGATTTCGTGGCAGCAGCTCAAAGTCGACTATGCCTTTGTAATCCCACCAAAATGATAACAATAACTTTTTTGGTGAATGTCAGCCTTAGAAGTTCTAAGGTGCCTGTTACCTTGCCTAGACCAGGATCTTTTTCTCAAAAAGTCATCATAAACAACCCACTTTTCATCTCCGGTGACCATTCTTTCAAAAAAGGGTCATTCGCATTGCATTTAAGAAGCATATTGCAAAGACCCATCAAGCTTCTTTTGGTACCCAAGACGCCGCAGACGGTTTTTGACGCACGTATGTGACTCATCTAGCTTCTTTACAATGTCCTTAGTCGAACTATGCCGATCACAATCAATGAGGGCCTTTATTTGCTCATCATTAACCTCCAATGGACGCCCGGAGCACTCCTCATTTTTCAAAGGAAAATCTCCAGAACGGAATTTCGCAAACCAGTTTTGACACTGCCGTTCTATTAAGGTTTCATCCCCCTACACGGCCCACAACTTTTTATTGGCTTGTGAAGCATTAACACCCTTTCAGAAATAAAAAAGCAAAATATGAAGGAAATGCTCGCTTTGGCTCCCCATGTTTAAATGTCTTTTGCTCGCGCACTATTTAAGAGTTCAATGAAATTTTGGTACTGAATGTTACAGAAGGAACCAAGTAATAACATACCAAAAGTTCATGTTTGTACATAAACGTAAACGTACTCAAAAAAATGGACAAACTATCTCTTAGTAAAATGCGAAGTTACTTACTGGCCAACCCAATAATTTACATAAAACAAATTATTTAACGAAAATATTCATGTATTGGCTACGTTAAAAGCTTCCATATTTTTATAAGTTCCACGTTAAAGTGAAATACATTTTTCTAATGACACTTTATTTACCATCGATATAATTAAGTTTAAATTGATGTCTATGGTTGTTTACATATATTACTATTATTTTTACTATTTCCCATTGTGAGTTATTTTTCCTGTATTAATTTCAAAAAAAATCGTAAAATTTGTTTTTAAAGAAATTACAAAATGCACGGGAGAGTCAAAATAAGAACGACAGAAGAACAAAAAGAAATCGCAAGGCAAAAGAAACAGAAAAAGGCAAGAGAAACAAAAAAAGGCAATAGAATTTAAAAAAATAATGAATCAAATATTATAAAAATGTTCTTCACAAATGCACGACGAAGAAGGTTTAAATCTCACCGGTAATTTATTAACAGGAAATCCTGATATAATAACATTATGGAATTATAGAAGAGAAATATTTTTGTCGTTGAAAAACGACGAGGATTTGGAAAGTTATCAAAAACTATTGGAAAAAGATTTACAATTGACAGAACAGTGCCTGAGAGTAAATCCAAAATCCTATGGTAGTTGGCATCTTAGAATATGGATCTTGGACAATTTGCCCAAACCTGATTGGAACAAAGAATTAAACCTTTGTACAAAATATCTTCAATTAGACGAAAGAAATTTTCACTGTTGGGATTATCGTAGGATAGTCGCTGAAAGATCAAATGTTTCTCATTTATCTGAATATGAATTCACTCTAACATGAATACTGTATTAAATTATGTATGTATATGTACATGTGTAATTATGGGAGGTAGGACCGAAAGTGATACCTCGGGAATGCCTCCCACATGGTTGAGGGGAGTATCCCAATTGGGTGGAGCAGATCTCTGCAACGGCCTATGCCGGAGGGGAATCTGCTCTCACCTTTGTGAGTTCGGATCTGATGATTCCGGCTTTGAGAGAAGGGTTGAGGTTGAGGCTGAAATGGGAGTTATACTCCTGCGACTGAAGGATATGAGTTGGTACCGGGAGGCAGGAAAATCACCCATATGCTGTATATGGAATACCTAAAAATTTATGCCAAAAATGAAGAGGAGTTAAATAAAATGCTAAGGACGGTTCAAACTTTTTCCTCTGACATCAACTTGAAATTTGGTTTGGAAAAATGTGCAAAAGTTAATATTGTCAGTGGAAAGTTAAAACAAAAGGAAAATATAGAAGATTCTGAAGAAGAACTTATTAAAGAACTGGACCCTAGATCAACATACAAATATCTGGGGATTGAAGAAAATTTTGGGGTAGCCAACAAAGAAAATAAACCTCGATTAAAGAAAGAATATTTTAAAAGATTGAGGCTTATATTACAGTCGGAACTGAATGGAAGAAATAAGTTAAACTCCATCGGCACATTAGCTGTTCCAGTAATAGAATACAGTTTAGGCCTTGTAATTATATATATATATATATATAAATTGTTATGATCCCGTACTCAATGTTCACATTTTTCAATTTTTTTATAAACAAAAGACTAACGATGAACTCAAATTGTTCTTCTTTAGAAGCGAAGCTTCTAGAAACTCTTTCTTTTGTTTTATTTGCAAGTATTTGCTCATTTAGATTGTTGGACATTCGAAACAATTGACTAATGAAAAACCGAGGTTATAAAGGGAAGCTTCACAGCTTTGCACGCGTTCTTTTGATTCTTTGTTTTGTTATATTGAATTCTTATCCATTTCTTTAACTTTAGTTTTGGTTGAGTGATAGTTTCTAAGTGTTTGTTCGCGAGTTAAAATAACCTTTACTTTTATTTTGTGAAAAAGTGTATGCTAAGCATTTAACACGTCACAAGAAATAAACTGTAAATTAATTTTAATATTAATTTGCGACTTATAATATAAAGAACGAACCGAACATAACAATATATATATATATATATATATATATATATATATATATATATATATATATATATATATATATTGCTTTTATAATACGTCCACGAATAAATATTTTTACATAATAATAATAATAATAAATAAATAAATAAAAATTAAATAAAATTTATTTATTATCCTTATTATTTTTTTTTATTTTAAATTCGTTTCTCCATCCTTGGTCACTTAAATATATACATATACACAATTTTGCTTTAAAACATAGTTATTTCATAATTTAAATTTTATTCCTATTAATACATAAGTTAAACATGAAAAATATGTGATTTTTTTTTCTGACCAATCACGAGTAAGAATGGCGAGCGCCATTAATTTCTCATTATGTATACAAAGCACGCCATTGGTTAAAAATTGTATTGAAAATTGCATATACTCTAAATGCAAGGCGTTGAAGCGAAACGAAACTATCGAAAAATTGAGACCTCCTAAATATTATGTTTTACTGATACTCGGAACCAATTTTTCACTCATTTTTCGTGATTTTTTTTCGTCCGCCTTACTTTTGTAAGTTATGCAATTTGTCGTGTTTACGCGTATTGCCAGTTGCATAACCAAAATTTTTAAGGATTTTTGAATTTTTTCGATTTTTTCGTCCGCCTTACTTTTTTGAGTTATGCTATTTGTCGGGTTTCACGTATTGCCAGTTGCATAACCCAATTTGTATAAAAATTCCGTTCTTATAAGTTTTTCTTTTATGGGAATAAATGTATGATATAACCAAACATGCATGGTGGGAAAAAAAAAACAAATTTTATTTTATTTTTAAATAATATATTTGAGAGAATAAATACATATATTACTATATTATTATTATTATTATCATTATAAATTTGAAAAAAAAAAAAAAAAACGGAAAACTTAATAATCGTTTTTGGCAAATTTAGTAGTTTATGTGTCACGATTAAGAAAAATATACATACATATATATTTTATAAATATATGTATGTATATAATATAAACGTGGCCAAATATAAATCAAACGTTCAATCATCACTCAAAATTTAATTACAGGTTTAAAACGAGGTTCCTTCTATGACGACAAAAACCGAACCTGATTTTTTCTAATTATTCCTCTTTCTCGCCTTTCCCTCCCTCCCTTCCTCCCTCTTCCCCTTCTTGCCTTCTCGCTTTTTCGTACTTTTTTCCAAAACGAAATCGTAGCCATTATTTAAATTATTTGAAAATATAACAGAAACGTTTTTGTCACCTCTCCTCTCCTCTCCAAAAGGTAGACATCATCTTGTTTCGCTGTCTGATACTGTCACTACTGAATGTACCGGCTCGTCTTTACTGGTCCTTTTCTAAATGAAAGAAAAAAAATGTAATAACAATTAGTAAAGACAAATGTAAAAACTTTATAAAAAAAAAAAAATTTTCTGTTCTTTCATCCGCGTTCTACCTACTTACCATCGAGTGAAAACGCGCGTATTTTTTTTCTCTCTCTCTCTCATTTTCACCTTTTCTCCCCCCTTTCCATACAGGTCACGCTCTATCGACTTGTCCAGGAGTTTTAGTGGGTAGGGGTCCCCGCTTAGGCTTTCTTTCAATTCCAAACCGATCCCCACACTCCCTCTGTAACAGGAGGGATTGTGCGTAACTAGCATTTCTCCTGGGTCATCAAAAAAAAAAAAAGGGAGGGAGGGAATGCAAAGGAGGAAAAAGGGAAAACAGGAACGGAAATTTTCCAACTATATTCTCGATGTTGGGAAAATCCAAAAAAAAAAAAACCAAGAGAAAATTATTAATTGCTTAAATAAATTTTCGATATAATAATAATAATATTATTTATCTCGTTTTATTTTATTTTCTTTCTCTTTCTCTTTCTCTCTCTCTCTCTCCTTATATATATATATATATAATTAACAAAACACTTTCTTTAAAAAAAAACATGGCGTCGAGCCCTTTTCTTCTTCTTCTTCTTGATTTTCTTTTACGTTGTTGTTATTATCATTATTATTTTTTTTTGATTCATCAGACGAACGTACAAAAAAAATTTTCTTTTTAAATATTCAAATCGATAATAATAATAATAATAATAATAATACTATGAAACGAAAAATGATTTGATTTCTTCGAAAAGGCTAAACAAAAACATGTCGGATTCACTTTTACCATCGAGACTCACCACCGGATTTTCCTACGAAAAGAAAAAAAACTTATTATCATTATCATTATCATTATTATTTTCATTATCATTATTATTTTTCTCTCGATACATCCGAATCCTTTTTTTGTTTAAACTTACGACGAGATTTCCGGATTTGATGAGAATGCAAACGTTTTGTCCGGTCAACGTTCTTGAAAACAAAGACGCCGCCGTTTCGTCAACCTTTTCTATTAGTTTTAAATTAAACCTTTCGCATACCTGATCGAGAACCTGAAAACAAACAAACAAACAAAATTAAAAATTTATTTACCGATCGCGATGAATCGATAAATCGATTACGCTCTCCAAAATCTCGTACCTGACTAAAGGATTGATTTTCTATACGGAATGTTTGCTTGCACGATAAAGTTCCTCCGGACAAAAGTGCCGAATATTCCATTTGAGACGGTACGTAATTGCTCAACAATCGAGAAACCGGAAATCTCAACCAAAAATCTATTTTATCCTGACTTAAAACACCTCCCGGATCCTGAAATGATAAAAAAAAAAAAAGATGGAGAATAAAAACGCAACTCGCTCCCGTGTTTCCACTTTCATTTCCGTTTCCGGAAATCACCTACTTGATGCTTGTAGGTAAAAGTTCCGCGTATTTTATGCGACTTGGAACAATCGGACACGATGAAATTCAATTCGGTTTCTTTCGTCTGTTGACTATCGATCAATTGACAATCGATTTTAATGTCGTCATATCGATCCGTTCCCGGTTCTCTCAACAATTGAATCGGACCCGATTCCGATATGTTTAATATCATGTCTCGAATTTGAGTTCCGGGTTTTCGATTCGATATCGAAAGAATCATCATCAAATGATTTCTCATTTCGTCGACGACTCGTATGTCGTACATCTGAAAACAAACAAAATCGTCGTCAACGACAACAACAACAACAACAATAATAATGATGATGATGATGATGATTTTTTTTGTCCTCACCAATTTAACAATGTCATCCTTTCCCAAAATTGAAAATTTATTTAATCCTCTTGTGACGTCACCGCCACCACCTCCGCCATCTTGATATCCGTTAACCATCGAATTATTTATATTGTTCATATTGTTAATGTTATTATTTATGTTATTGTTTTTGTTATTGTTATTGTTACTGTTAAGGCTTTTCCTTTTTTCTACATTTTCCGAACTCATGAGACTCTCGAGTAGATTTTCTTTCGCGAGAATGGAAGAATCGTCACCGTTTGGATTTTCATCGAGGAGCAATAAACCTCCCTGTTTGTCTTTTGACATTCGTTTCGTTTTTTTCATTCTCCCGGTTTTGTCATCCGTCCCCGTTTTTTTCTCCGTCGTTCCTTTTTTTTTCTTTTTCTTATGTTTCGTCTTCGTCATGTCTTCGTATTCGTTCGATTCCACTTCCGCGTAATTTCTCGACGGCGCGGAATCATCCAACAGCCAAAAATCTATATTCTCTCCTTTTCCTCCCGTTTTCGATTGTTTCCCGTCGTCTTTTTCCTCTTCTCCCCTCTCCCTCTCCGTCGTATCATCTTTTCCCTTTTTCTTTTTTTTCTCCTTGTTTGAATTTTCTTTTTTTTTCCTCACTTTCTCATCTTTATTGTCTTTTTTGTTTTTATTTTTCATTTTTTGTTGACTGCTACCGCTTTTGCCTTCCTTTTCTTTACCCGATTTATCATCCGAGAGATTGAGAGAAGTCCTGTGTGTCGGTACCGGTAATTTTTCTTCTTCTCTCAACGGCCTGAAATTACAATTATTATTATCATCATCATTTTTTTTTGGCGGGAAAAAACGAGAACAAATTTTTAAACTCACTCGTCTAAATTAATATCCAGAGCTTTGTGTGGATCGTTGTTCGATTCGTCGTCGTCGTCGTCGTTTTCACCATCCGACATGATGGCACCTTCGGGCATTTCACCGATGGCCGTGTTGACGATGACGAGAGGCTCCGGATTTTCATCTTCGCTCGAAATTTCCTTTCGACCCTTTTTCGATTTCTTAGTTTTTTTCTTGCTTTTTTTATTATTATTATCCTTTTCCTTTTTAACTTTTAAATATTTATCAGACGTCGTCAATCCGGGGATTTTCAACGGTACATCTAATTCTATATTTTGAACGGGTATGTTATTACATATCCCGTCTCCTCTATCCCTGTCTTCCGATTTTAAATAATACAAATTGTTTGCTTGCTCTAATTTTCTAGCCATTCTCCTCTGCGCGTGCGTGAAAAGAAAAATTTCCCCACCCCCCCCAAGTTAATGAAAACTCTTTCGCTTAAACTTAATAATACCATCATCAATTTTGTACAAACTTTGTTGAGTTCTTCCTCCGTGAGTTCCTCTGATTTTTTCTTAGCACCATACGATTGTAAATCCCCACCGAAACCTTCGCATTTTGAAAATATTTGAGTGTTGAATTCTTCGCCGTCCGAAGAACTTTCCGAACTCAGGGGTTCGTTTATCCAAGCGTCCAAATCCAAACCCTCCGGAATCTAAAAATAATCAAACAAAAATTGAAGAACAATCAAAAAGAAAATTCATTCATTCATTCATCCAAGGATGTACCTGAACTTTCTTTTGGGCTTTCGGTGCAACGGGATTCAATTCTCCGGCAAATAGTGACGCCATTTCTACAGCTAAAGAACCATCGTTTTTTTCCAAATGTTTTTGAACGAATTTCATCAAATGCAATGCCGAACTCGCTCTTTCTTGGACTTCCAAATCCGCAGACGACACGTATTCGGGTAATTTATCGCATATTAATTCGCACAACTGAAAACATAACCAATGTTAATAGATGATGGCAGTAATGGCGGTGACGAAGAGAGGAAAAGAAAAAACAAACACTCACTTCCGTAACTTGTTTCAAATCTCCGCTTTCGTTTCCTTTCGTAAATAACAACGAGAATATTTTCAAAATGTTTTGAATGTAAACGGCTTGAATGTGACCGGGTAAATTCGTGACTCCCTTTCCATTCAATAAAGCTTCTAACGTCGTTCGCGGATTTGGCAATTCCCTGAAATTAAAAAACCGTCAATCGACGAAAATTAACCGAAAAAAAAAAAATGGCGGATGCGACGGAGCTTACGATGCGAATTCACCGCAAATCCAAGCGGCTGCATATAAAACTTGAGTCATGTTCGAACTCGAACAACCGGAACCCGCGATTATTTGAGCGTTTTCCAGGAGCAAACTCATTTGCTCGACGCAAAAACCACGGATGGCTTTTACCCTGAGAGCGACATCCATCATTTGATCGGCAATTAACGGTCCTTTTTGACTTCCTTCCATTCGTGTCACGTCGACCAAAACGCTTACGTACCTAAAACACAAAAACAATCATCATTATTATTATTATATTGAAAACAATGTTAGAAAATGAGAAAACAAAAATGTTTTTGCTACCATTCAAAATTTGTTATGTGTTGATAATTGTTCTGAGAGCAAATTTGTATTATTTTCGATAGGAGCTGATCTCTGTAAGATGTTCCTTCTGCTTTATCCATATGAACCATTAATTTTTTAACTATTTCCATTAAATTTTTCTTCGAAACCTTGTGTGGAGTGAGAAAAAGAAAACAAATCTCTTTATAAATTAATTATGATGATGATGATGATGATGATGATGATGATGAGTAGGGTTAGAAAGTGATTATTAAAAAAAAAAAAAAAAAACAAACCATTCCATATAATAAATCCAATGCTCTTAATCTAATCGATTCATCTTTGTCATCTAAACACTGAAGAATAAGATCTTTGTGCGCTTGAACTGATTTCGGATGTGTAATTAATATTTTTGACATTGCTAACAAACCCAAATATTTCACTGGAAAAAGAAAAAATAATAAAAGTAAATAAATTAACTAAAAGACAGAGACAGAGAGAAAGAGGAAAAAAAATTTTGACAAACAATTTTGATCTGAATCCTCGATGAGAATTCTTAATTTTTGAACGCATAATTGAATGGAAGCACTGTGTGTTGGCATTCCACTTGATATCGATATAAGAACTGCAATTACTGTATTTATACATTCGTATAACAAAGACATGGCTGATGTACTGCAATATCAAATAATAAACAATAAATATTTATTAAAAAATTGTTATCAATAGATATTATTTTATTTATTATTATTTGAAAAATTATTAACTTATTACCTGTGAATAAGATTAGTTAAAGGTTCGATTAATTTTTTTCCAAGGCGTGGTTCTAAAGGTGTCAATGCACCAAACTAAAATAAAATTAATAAAAAATAATATTCGTCATTCATATCGAAAAGGTATAAAAGTTTAAAAAGAGTTTTCGATAAACTTTATTGAAATCGAATTCATTCGAATGAATGCACACTCAATAATGATGAAAAACTTACCAATTTAATAATTTTAATAAGCATCCAATTATTTGTCGATGTTGTCATCAATTTAAAAAAAACAGGAGCTAAACTAAGATAATTTCTAGGATTTTTTCTAGCCAATTCGCAAACAACATTAACGCAAGCGCTTTGAACACCAGAATCTGGATCTTCTAATTTTTCTTTCAGTCTTGGAAAAGCAGGACGAAGAGCTTCGGGAAATCTTAAGAATATTTTGTACATCATTAAAACTGCTTTTTTACGAATATATGGCTTTGTCGAACTTAACTACAATGACATTTATCATTTTATTCATACACATAAACCAAAAAATTTTTTTTCAATTTTCATATTGATATCGATAATAATAATAATAATAATAATTACCAGAGTCATTATATCATTAGCTAAATCTTTAGCTAAATCTGTGCTCACAAAACAAGAGAGACCAGATAAAGCTAAACCAGCATCATATTGATTTTGAGAATTTAAATCTTTTCTTATCATATTCGTGGTCAACATTAATAATTCCGAATCGGGATGAAAACTTTGTGACGCTCCTAGATAACCAATTCTTTTAAATGTTAATTTATTGGAAGACATCACTTCAATTATGTTGAAACCAGCCCATGATATATCATAACCTAACATTTGTAACTGTAATCATGATGAATTTAATAAATAATTTAACAAATCGATTTCATTCGATATGTATATAAAGAAATATCGATGGATAGTACATACATAAATTAACTTGGCGACAGCATTCGCTTTTACTGAAATGTTATCTTGCCTTAATTCTTGTTTTATTTCTTCCATACATTGTGCAATGTATTTACCCTGTTAAATAATAATAATAATAATCATTAATTATTGATTAATAAGAACAATTTTAAAAAATGAATAAATATGTGGTTGTTAATTTGATGACATAAATGAAATGATGATAACAATACATAAAATTATTAATGACAACAAATGAATGATGGTAATGATGATGAATTTATTAATAATTTAAATAGTGCAATGAAATATTAAAAAAAAAAAATGACGCCACGTTTAAACAAACATAACGTGTTAAATAAAAAAAAAAAAAAAAGAAAGAAAGAAAGAAAGAAATGTCGATATAAATATCAATTTAATAGGATTTAAATAATTAACTTACTTCATTGTCTTTATTATTTCTAATCCCTCGTACGAGATCGCTCAAGTTTTTATCAAACATACGTTCTAAATTCCCTTTGACCTTTTTTAATGCCATTTTTATTTATTTATTTATTTTTCTATAAATTATTCTAAATAATAATAATAATAATCGTAATAATCGTAATAATTTTGATAATATTTTTTTTTATAATTACTGTTTTTAATATAAACTATTGACATATTAATAAATGAAATTTAAAAAAAAATTTTTTTTATGGGAAATTTTTTTTTTTTTTTTTAAATAAAAATATTAACGATAACAAATATAAAACATATATAAATGATTCACCGCAATGGTTGTAAACGTCAACTCTTATTCTCTCTCTCTCTCTCTCTCTCAAAGGAAATTAAAATTATTTGCTACGATTCAGTGATTTTTTTTATTTTTTAAATTTCCCGCCAAAAAATACATGCTATGTTTTCTATTCCTTTCCCTATTCTCGACAACTCTTAATTTAAAGAAAATTGATTTTTCTTTTAAAATTAATAAAATAAAATCTCCATCGTTTTTTAAATAAATAATTTAATTCAACCAGACGGTAAAAAAAAAAAACTGAATTTAATTAATTTTTAATTAGTTCGATTCGCGTACAAAAGATGGCAATCGAGTTCATTTTTTTCTATTTTTCATGGAAAAAAATAAAAAATAAAAAAATTTTCCATTTTATTTATTTATATATATATATTTATTTATTTTTTTCTTTCAAAATACAATTTTAACAACGAATAAATAAAATTTAAAAAACTTTAATTAAAATCAATTATTATTATTATCACTATCATTACCGCTCGTATTTATACATAATAATAATAAAATAAAAAAATTTACATTAATAAAATAACAAACGAGGATCAAAATAAATAAAATATATCTATATTTATATTCTAATACATTTTCCCGCCGTGTATGCATGCGGGGGGGAGGGGGATGAAGGAGGGGAAGGGGTAGAGGAAGAGGGGTGCGCGCGTATATGTAATTAATTTTTACGTCATAATCAAAGCCCAAAACACATAATCACAAGCCGAATATATGAATAAAAAAAAATATTATTATCATTATTATTTATTTACATTTCTATTAATTATATTATTATTATTATTATTATTATTATTATTAAAATCGTCATCGTTATTATCATCATCATCATCATCACTATTATCAATATATATATATAATTATGTACATTAAAATCGCGCGTTTTTTTTTTTTAATTTAATTAATTTTTAAAGCTTTTACAATAACTATTACTATTGATAATAATGATGATAATGATGATGATGATGATAATAATAATAATAATAAACGAGTATGCACTAAATACATTAACGTTGATTTAGAATAAGTCGCCCATATTGTCGGAAAAAGTCCTCGAATAATAACCTGAAAATTAAAAAATTTATATTAGGTATGACGTAATTGATGACGAAATGTCAAATTACAAAAAAAGGAACTTACGAATCAAAACAAAAAAAAAAAAAAAAAAAAATGAGAGAGAGAGAGAGAGAGAGAGATAGAAAGAGAGAGAGAAAGAAAAGAAATTTATTTCTAACGCGTGTTTCTCCTTTTTCTTTTTTTCTCACGCGTATCTAATATTTTTCCGGCGGGAGGAGGCAAACGTGACGATAGATTCTGAAAAAAGAAAAAACGAAAAACGTCACTCGTTACGTCATCGATTACGTCATGAGTAGGGGAAACAAAACGAACGCGTCGTACGTACCTCTAATTGTAAAGCGTTAACCGTTGTGTAATTAACGGTGTGAAAATGTTTGAGTGTTAATTTGTAATTGTTTGACGATGGGTCACCGGAAACGGAACTCACGTATTCATCTAATATTATTAAACTGCTTTTTCTTTTACATCCGGTCGTGCTAATGCTCCTCCTCCTCCTTGTGCTCGTTTCGAAATGTGTAAAAGGCTCCAATCGTTGTTCTTCATTTTCTCTTTTTGCCGACATTTTGTCATTTTCGTCACGACATTTTTTAAATGATTCTCTAGAATTTTCCATGCGTTGACGAGGACGTTGATTGCTATCTGCGTTTATCCTCTCTATTATTTCTTCTTCTTTGACTTTAATTGATTTGGAATCAAAATTTATGACGTCATCTTTTGTAAACAAACCTTCGACGCTACTACTTCCGGCTGAACTGAAACCGCTCGAACTTTGTACGCTTGCTATGCTCAAATGTTTGTTGTTGATTGGAGGAGATTCGATTGAATCGCTGTTGTTTCCGGTTGTTGTTGCGCTTCTTCTTCCGTTTCCTGAGTTAAACGAAAGCTTTTTATATAGGCTAGAGTCTAGTTGTTTAACTTTTAAATCGTCTATCGTTCCTCCTCCACCCTCCGTATAATACCTCTTATCACTTCTTACCAATTTTTTTCCGGTTGTTTTAACGATTGTACGACGTACGCTACAATTGCACTGATCACATTTCGATGTATCGATTTTTGATTTGTCATCATCTAAATTCGTTTGTAGTCCGATCGTTTTATTTTTTTTCTCTTCCGTTTGATTCTCGGGTTTTATCGATGATGATGATGATGATGGCGGCGGCGGCGGTGGCGGCGATGATGATGATGATGATGATTGTACGACGCTTATCGATCTCGAAAGTTCCATCGTCACGTTTCCCGTTTTGACGAGCGGTGGATTTTTTGGAAATATGGCAAAACCTCTTTTGAGAGAACCTCTCGGAGGACTCGGAGGCGGATAGCTGACTCCTCTTTGACTCGGTGATAAAAGGCCGCCGTGAGATTTCGGCGGTGCCAACAATAATGAATTCGGAGGGCAAGGATTCGGACTCGAACCGCCACCACCGGATGAGGAAGCTATGTTTAAATTAGGTAAACTTTGACCCAAATGCGGAACTTGAATCGTTAAAGTGTTTTTAGTTTTCGTCACGGATTTCCTGTAAAATAATTTCGTTTCCGGTTTTTGCATCGTCGTTTGATTTTCTCTCTTTTCGACCGACGGCGATGACGATGCGTCTTTACGTTCGATTTTTGGCGACGTTGTCAATTCTACTCTAGGCGATGACGATAAATTTTGATTTCCGTCGTCTGAACTCAAACTGGATCCGCGAACTTCCGAATTGTTTTCCACGCTCACCCCTCGTGATGCCGATACTGAACTTATCGAGGATATGTTTTCGGTCATTTCCATTGATCCGCTGTAGAAAAACAAACACAATTTTCATATTTAATCATAATTATTTTTACGTCACCGGAAACGAACGATACCGGATATATGAGGAAATTACCTGTGTGAATGTACCAGACTTGATATTCTACTTCCGTAACTTGATCCTTTCGGACTTTTCCCCGTCCAGAGTCCCAAATTATACGTCATCATTGTTTTATTTTCTTCGACGTTATCACCAATCGAAATGTCTTCGTTCGCATAACCGGAGTGTTGACGAGATATCGACATAGTCGTGGGTGTTTGAGGAATATGACCGCCGAACCCTTGATGTGATTTTAACGATCCATATAAACTTTTAGCTTTTTTAATTGCATCCGACCAATTCTGTAAGAATAAAAAGGAACATTTTCCGCAACGAACCAAGAAAAAACAGGAAATAATAATAATAATAATTGTCTTTGTCTTTTCACTCACTCTGACTAGTTCCGATTCACCGCAACTTAGCATGAATGCCGTACACGCGGTTCTGTATATGCTTAAATAGACGCATGCCAACGATGGGGGATCTCTCGTGATTTCCTGCGTCACCAAATGATCTATGACGTAAGGCTGTCGAATTATTTTAAATTTTATTCTCGATTCTCCCAATCTTTTCACCGGTTTTGTTATCAAAAGAAAATCGGTGAAAAGAAAAGCGTGGACTTCAATCTGGAATTTCAAAATTTTTAGTACTTATTTTACTCGAGAGATGTCTGTCCTCTCTCTTCCGAAGACCGGAAACGGAAAAAAAAAAAAGATTTGAACTTTCACCTTTGACGAAGTCATCGCGTCTTTATATTTAACATCGGATTCGAACAATAAACTCCTTTTGCTCGTCGTTCCCGGTATGTCGTACGTTAAATTTAAATTTGAATATTTTTGTATTAGATTTGATAAATCGTCATCTTTTGATTCGATGACGTCATATGATTCGATTTTACTCATCAATTGTTTCATCGTTTCCAAATCTTGATTTTGTTTAAGCGTGGAATTGACGTTGTTTACGAAAAAATCAACGGATTTTATCTTTTGGGAAGAAAAATATTAATAATAATAATAATAGAGAACTGTACTGGCGGAAAAATCGAAAAGAAAAAAAATTTTCCTCTCTCACCATGTCGCAAATAGAATCTTTGTGATTTTGATTAATCGTGTGTTTCAATATGGCCTTTAACAAAAGTGAATATTTCGTTAATCTTTGCATTGGTTTAACTAATATGTCGAGAAGTTTTAACCTGTTGCATTCTTTTTGCGTTTCGCACCACTGGAAAAAAGAAAAAGGGTGAGAAAAATGTTGGGTACCAAAAATGAGGGTACCCCCCCCCCCACGTAAAGAAACGCTTACCGCCAAATAAGCAGTGAACAAATCATTATCTTGTTCCTGTTGTAATTTTTCCCTGCAGTATTGCTGACATTTTGATTGTTGAGTGCAGTAAGTTTCGTAACATTTGAACATGTTATGAAAATCCATGAAACCCTCTCTCAATAAATCGGGATTTAAGGGTTCCCCGGTTTTTCTAGACGTTTCCACGACGGGCGCCAAATATTTTTTCCAAAACAAATCGTTGCAACTGTATATTTCTTCAACGTTACCAAATAATTTCTTATTGTCTATATCTAATAATAATTGATTTGATTGTAGATTAACAAGACACGCGATGAATAACTGAGGGGAAAAAAAAAATAAAAAATTTTTTCATTAATCGATATCGTATTCCCCCCCCAACCCCATTTCATCCCCAACCAACCCTATTTAAAAAATAAAAAAAAAATCAATCGATAGTCCATCAAATTAATTATTGATACTTTATCAATCATCAATCAATGATAATATTTTAATAAATAATCTTTTTTTTTTTTTTTTATTAAAATAATACACCCTTTGATCCTTTCCTCCCTCCCCTCATCCATCCCTTCGCTCTCTCTCCCCCTCAGTCCCCCCTTCATAATTCCATTAAATTAAATAAATTAAATTTTTTTTTTTTTTTTTCGTTTTTCCTAAAAGTTTTTCGATTAAATCCGGTTCTGATGGCGTTTTTTTTTTTTTCTTTCCCGAGAAATATTTTTCGAGTCGGCGGTGGTTTGATTTTCGTGACGTCAGAAATTATTTTTGTTGGAAAATTATAATTTATACATTTCCGTCGATATTATTATTTTTTTTATTCTAGATTTTCCTTCGAATCGTTTTTCCGTTTTCCCCCATCTGTTTTCTTATCGGTGCGAGTATTTTAAAAAAATTAATTATTTCCGGTTTTCTTCTACCACTTTCTCTTAAAATTTTTCTCCTCCTCTTCAACATTTCTCATTTCACCGGAACGATATATCGATCGATAAATCGATCCATCGATATTTTATTTAATTTTAAATATTTTCTACGATTTTCGGATGTATTTTGTTTTTGTTTTAATCGTCATCTTCTGACACTTGGATTTAATATTAATTTATTACAATTTAATTTTCTCTCTCTCTCTTGCATTTTTGAAAACTATATCCGGTTCGTTATTTAAAACCTTTTTTATCGTCAAAACCACCCCCCTCCCTCCTTGTCGTTATATTATTTACATTTATCAAAAATTTTTTTTTAGAAATCCTTTCGAAATTTGTTCTATCTCAATCCGTTTTTTTTTTTTTCGAGATGAATTAAAATCGAGTTTTTGTGGTTTTTAGAGGGGGGAGGAAAGAGAAGAAGGAGAAGAGAAAAGGGAGGGGAGGGGAGGGAAAGGGAGGATAGGGATAAAAACAAAACAAAAATTTATAAAAATTCAAAAACGATTTTTAAATATCGAATTTTTTTCTTTTTTTTTAGCCATAAAAATTTTCCCGCTATAAAAAAATTTTCAAATTATTCGTATTGATCGATTTTATTTAACGAACCGTTTCTTTTTTTTTATAAATTGGCGCCCGGTAAGGAGCGGAAGTTGAAATGGTTTCCGGTTTTTACGACCATTTACCAAAAGTAACAAAAAAAAAAAAGAAAAATTCTCATCACTTCCTACTCCTTCTCCTCGTACGGTAAAAATTTAATTCGAAAAAAAGGAGGAGAAGGAGGAGGAAAAGGAAAACGTCCTTTGAGAACGTTTTCTTTCCTTTTTTCCTTTTCCTTTCCATTTTCCTAAATAAAATGAAAAAAAAGAGAGACTTACGTGGCTAACTACTCTAAGCATTTTTATATAATCTATTTCGCTTCTTAAAAGCTCCCAAATTGCTTCTTGTTGTTGAGATTGTCTGTCGTCAAAATTTACTGAATTTATCACTATCGATTTCCAGTCTGCTTCTAATTTATAAGTATCTGGAAAAGCAAAAAAATTAATTAAATTAATTATTGTTCTAGAAATTTCCTTCTTTTTTTTTTTTTGCTATTGTGAAATCTCTGATGAGTTCATCAGACGCACAAAAAAAAAAGAGAGAGAGAGAAAAATTATAACGAAGATAAAAGGTAAAAAGGGGGGAAAAAAACAAATAATCGGATATTTGATATTCTCGAAAAAATAATAATGATAATAAAAAGGAAAGGAAAGGAAAATTTTTTACAATTAGTTTTCTTTTTTAAAATGTCATTTTACGGTTTTAAATTTTCATCCCATTCCTTCCTCCCTCCCCCTGCAACCCTCTCCTTTTTATTCCTTGAAATTTAACGAAATAAAATAACAAATTACATGCGTTCATTTTTTTTTTTAACCTTTTAATTTAATTGGTAAAATATTTTCTTATCGATCTATCGATCGATCGATCGATGGATCGATTTTCTTTCCGCCATTTTAATAAAGTTGGTAGTGACGACATACCTTCCTTATATTCGTAAATTCCATTTTTCGTATACGAATCCAATAGATCGATGAGCGTTTCCATTTTACTCGTGTCTCTACTGGTCCCGAAAAATCCGCTCCATCTTTTAGATTTTCTATCTCCTCCGCTTGTCCCGGGTTCCATCATTGACGATGAATCTTCGCTGCTCACGTTATGAGTTTTCGTACCTGATTTCACGCTTTTGTAACTCTTTCGAACGATGACGTAAACGAAAACGGAAGGGGAGGCGTGAAAAAGAAAAAATTAAAACAACGATACTGACACGGGAGGAACCCCCTTAAATTGGGAAACCTCCCCCCCCCCCTCGAACAACGTTTACTTACGGATGAAATTTTTTTTATAGGAGGAGCGAAAGTGTTTTTTTGGTCCTTTTTTAATGACGTCATAACTCTATCGTTGACTTTTATACGTATGTGTTTTCCACCCATCCATGACGTATCTATGTCTAAACAAGGCAGTGGTGATTTATTTGCATCTAAATAAACGTTCGATGTGTTTAAATCGATTCCTTTTCTTTTACATATATCCAATATAACGTCTCTGAAATTATTATTATTATTATTATTATTATTATTATTATTGTAAATCTATGGATTTGTTATACGTTTCGACAACTCTGCTATCTTAGAAAAGAGAAAGAGAGAAAGGAAATTGTAAAATAATTTTTAAACAGCAAACAAACAATTTATTATTATTATTATTAGTCGTAGAAATGTCGACGTTTGAATAATTTATGTATTTATGTACATAGGTAAAATGATAACAATTTAAAAGTGTTGTCGATTCGATTGTCAACATAACGAATATAAACTTTTCCCACCTTAAAGTTAAATAACTTTTTGGATTTACGTACGAATTACGTTAACTCGTATTACGGGGAGGGGGAAAGGGGAGAGGAAGAAAAAGAGAGAGAGAAAAAAGGGGGAGGCAAGGGGGAGGGGTTGGGAAATGAACGACACGAAAACCGAAAAAGTGAAAATTTTTAATTACAAAAAAAAAAAAAAGGAAAATTTTTTGCGCTCGTACGACGACGTCAACAACAAAAAATTTATTCGCGATTATTTTTTTAAATTTTTATGCGTCTTTAAAAATTTGATTTCGGATAAAACAAAACAACAAAAAAAAGTCGTTAAAACGGATTAAAATTAAAAATTCGTACGAAATTAAAAATAATAATAATGATAATAATAAAAGAAAACAAGAAATTATAAATTCGAATTTAAAAATAATAATTTTCCATTTTTTTTTTTTTTTTTGAAATTGATTTTAAAATCGTGGCAGTAGAATAAGAGTAATTTCGACGTTGCAAATTATACATTTTTTATTATTTTCCCTCCTTTTCCCCCTCCCCTCCTTCTACCCTCGCGCCACTTTCGTTTCCGTTTCCGCTTTCCCGATTCATCGACTCACCTTAATATCGTATCTTTGGTCGCTTGTACAAATTCATCATTTCCATCTTCTCCGATTCCTTCGATTCCGACGGAAAAACATTCCGAACTGCTTGCCTGGAATTAAGAAAAAAAATTTTAAAAAATTAAAAAATTTTCCTCCTGCCATAATAATAATAATAGAAAGAGAAAAAAAATGGCGGAACAAATTTTCATTTAATGCGACCGCCGCCGAAAGTAATAGAAATCGACGATTTATCACAAACTCTTATATAAATAAATGAGAAATGAAAATTTTATTATTATTATTATCATTATTATTATCATTTTTCTTTTGATCGATTTCTTTTTATATAAATTATTATCTTTGACACGAATAAATTATATTTTATGTAAAAAAATAATAATAATAATAATGATATTTTCTTTTTGCGTTTTATTTTTAACACGTATATGTATATAATTTATACGATATTTTTGCAAAAGGAAAGGAGAGAGAGAGAGGGAGGGAGAGGGAGAAAGAGAGAGAGATAGAAAAAATTTTTATTTGAGTTTTCTTTCTTTCTTTCTTTCTTTTTTTTTTTTTTTTTTTTTTTTTTTACCTTTAATCCACCACCAGTAAATTAAATTCAATTTTGTTTTTTTTTTTTTTTTTTTTCTTAATCGATAATAAATTTAATACAGAGACATTCAGGATGTATTTTATTGGGGCGCAAGGGGGGCGGGGCGGGGAGGCAGGAAACGAAGAATAAGAAGAAGAAGAAGAAAATGAAAACAACCGGAACGAATCGTTTTAAAAGTCGAAATAGAAAAAAAAAAAGTAGAAAAAATTACATTCTGATAAATTTATTTCGTTGGAAAATAAAGAAAAAAGAAAGAGAGAGGGAGAAAGAAAGAGAGAAAGAGAGAGAGAGAGAAAGAAAGAGAAGAAAGATAGAGAAAGGAAGAGAGAGAAAAAGAGAGTGCGGTGGAAAAAGAGAGAGAAAGTCAGCGACAGAGTCAGGCAAAGAAAGAGAAAGAAAGAAAGAAAGACAGAGAGAAAAAGAGAGAGAGAAAAAGAGAGAGAGACGGAGAACTATAAAATTATTGAGAAAAAAAAAAAACAATTAAAAAATTGGACCTCGTAAAAAAAAGAAAAAAAAGAAAAAAATTTCTCCCCGTTTTTCGTTTCGATTTTTTACTCCCCCCTCCACGTCCTCCTTCACGTCCTCCTCCCCCACTCCTTCTACACTCTCACCCTTCTCCCACCCCCTAATTGATTAAAGAAATTGTTTAATTAATTAATTAAATTAATAAAATTAGAATTTTCGACCAAAATAAAAAAAAAATTTTTTTTTTTTTAATAAAACCTAAACATGGAGTCAAATGTAAAATAAAATATAAGATCATGTCAATAGAAAAATTTTCATTACGTCATTAGATAAATAATATTCAAATAAATATTCTTCGTTTTTTGTTTCTATTTCTCCTTCTTTCTTTTGTCGTTAATAATTAAAAACTAAAAAAAAAAAATTTTTCCAAGAATCAAATATTTTTTTTATTTTTCACGTTTTTCCCTCGAATATCCATGAAAAAGGAAAAAAGAAAAAGGAAAAGGAAAAATGGCTCGTCCCGATCCCGGCTAGACAGTGAATTTTATTACTTTGAATTTTTAATGGAAAAAAAAAAAAAAAAGAAATTTTTTATTATTATCATTATCATTACAAAGTTGGATTTTCCTAGCATTTTATCTCACTTTCTCTCTCTCTCTCTTTCTCTCTCTCTATCTATCTTTCTTTCTCTTTTAAACTGCCCTAATCTGTATAGGATTCGTTTTTCGTTATACATTCTTCGCTTATAGGGAGAAAATTATTAAACCCCGATCCAAATAGATAAAAAAAAAAATAATAATAATAATAATTATTATTATTATTATTATTATAAGTACAAAATCCGCCATATTGAATTCATTATCCGTATATACAAAATAATTTAATTAAATTTTACAAATTTCGTCTCAAATAATATTAAAAACCGTAGAAAGGAGGAGTAAGTGAGAGAAAGACAGACCAAATCAGAAACGGAAAGAGATAGAGAAGAAGAGAGAGAGAGAAGAAATGAGAGAAAGATGAAGAGAGAGAGAGAGAAAGAGAGAAAGGAAAAGATTAAAAGTTGTTTGTGTGCTCGAAATAACCGTCATTCAAACCTTTTTTTCTCTCTCACTTGTGACGAGAGTCGAAATGCATTTTGTAAATGGGGAGGAACGAGGGGGAGGGAAGGGGGGGTAAGCGACGACGGAGAAAAAAAAGGAAGTTTAAAAAAAGGATAAAAAATAATAATAATAATAATAATAATAATAATAATAATGATAATAATGCCGCCGGCAGGAAAAACAAAAAATGATAAAAAAAAAAAAAAAAAGAAAACTGAATAATAACAATTTAAATTGAGAAAAGGTTGAAAAAAGGTTTTTTTTTTCTTCTTATGGTTTTTGACCTTTTTTTTCCTTTTTTCCTTTTTTTTTCTCGTTTGATAAACCTTTCATATTTTCCTTTTTTATTTGAATTTTAATAAATGCATTTATTTATTAAGCTTATGCGTAAGACTATTTTTTAAAATTTTTTTCTTCCCTTCCTTCAACTTCCCTCCCTTGTTTCTTGCCCCCCCTTACCTCTTTCCAACCTTTTCCTTCTCGGAACCCTTTTTTGAAATTTTTTTTCCTTCTTCTAAAAAAAAAAAAAAGAAAAGAAAAAGAAGAAAAAAATTCCTTCGTACAAAATGTTAACATTCTTGTAATAAAAAAAAAGACTGCGTTTAAAACGTGTTTGAATAATAATAATAATAATAATTTGAAAACCGGATGTTTGTTTTTATTAAATACTCGCCCTTCCCCCTCCCCTCCCCGCGGGTGAGTATAAGGGGAAGGGAGTGAGGGAAATCGGGGGAAAAAAATTTTTTTTTTTTAAATTACAAAATTAATTAAATTTTTTTTTTTGTTATCAAGCCCTGCCCTTAACAAAATTACTTTTTATCTCGTTTCGGGAAAATATTCTACCGCCACGATTTTTTTCTTTCCCCCCTCCGCCCCTTTTTAACCCGTTCCTTCCTTCTTCTGCCCCCCATTTTCATTTTTTTCTTCCCTTCGAAATAGAAATAAAACAAAATTTCCGTTGAAAAATAATCAAACTAATGGTTTCGATACTTTTTTTCCTCTCTTCTTCTTCTTATTTCCCGACATTTTTCAATGACTCAACAAACAAATTTATTATTATTATTATTATTATCGGAACCGGAAACAAAACGCGAAGAAAAAAAAAAAAACTTTTAAGAAAATTTTATTATTATTATTTTTTATTTGTTATGTAAAAAAAAAAGTTTTCATTTTATTTTAACGTTTTATTTGTTTTAACGTTTGTTCGTTTGTTGATCCTTCGCGTTTGCTTAAAAAAGGGGGGGAGGGAGGGAGTGGGAATGGAAGAAAAGAGTAAAGAAAAAAAAGAATTTGAAGAAATCCTCAAAAAACGCTCAAACTCAATCATCATAAATCGAAACCGACAGAACAACAACAACAACAACAGAAAGAAATAATAAAAGATTTGAAAAAAAAATATGTATAAATCCCTCCTCCTCTCTTCGCTCTTTCCGCCACGCTCACGCCTTCTCCCACCACCCACCTTCCCCCCATCCCATTCTCATTTGGAAAAGTTTTCCGATGGTTATGACAAATATAAATTAAATTACCTCCGAACGAGAAAGCATCTGCCTTCTGTGTTTGCCGCTGACACTTGTCGGAACGGAAAGTTGCTGCTGTTGCTGTTGCTCCCCACTTTTTTCTGAATTCATTCCTTGATAAAAAATTCCACTTCCTCTTTGTCCCTGTTCTATTTGATCGATGTGAGTTAAACTCCTTGATCGAACCTGTAATAAACGAAATAAATAAAAGGAAAACCTATTCATTTATATTAAAAAACCATAGAGTAAAAAAAAAAAGAAAACTGCTCATCAATAATCATAGAGTAATTTCATTTTGTAATAAAATACGATGATGTCATTTCCGGTTTTTTTATTATTTTGGTGTTTTTTATTGCCAATTTAAAAAAAAAAACTCGTGACGATGATGGGAAATCGTGAGGGGGGGCAAGTGGGCGGGAGTAGGGAGAAGGAAGAGGGGGAATTTTTTTTTTTGTTTTTATTCATTTTCGACTTTTATTATTATTATTATTATTATTATTATTTTTAATTACAAAAAAAAAAAAAAAACAAATCGTAAAATTTTTCATTCATTCCTTTTCATTTTTTTTGCTTTTGTTTCGATTGTAAAATTTTTTATTTTTTTATTTTTATTAATTTTTTTTGTTTTTGCTGTCGTCAATAATAATCGTCGAGCGTGATTCGAGTTTTATTAAAAAAATAAAAAATTTCTTTTAAACGTCGTCGTCGTCATTTTAATAATAATAATAATAATAATAATAATAATAATAATAATAATAATAATAATAATAATAATAATAATAATAATAATTTTTATTATTTATTCCCGCATTCAAAAAAAAAAAAAAAAAATTTGTTATCCTCTGACAAAAAAACTCCCCTCCTCTTCCGTTTTTTTTTCCCCATTGTTTTGATTTTTTCCTTTTTTTTCCCCATTATTCTTACCCATTTTCTCACAAAAAAATTTAAAACTTTCCTTTTTCAATAATAATAATAATAATAATAATAATAATAATAATAAATTTTCTAAAGGTTTTAATTTGAGTCAAGTTAAGAAGGTGAAAAAAAATTTTTTTTTTTTGGTTGTTGTTGTTGTTATTCGATGATTTCACACGTTTTTACGAAAAAAAAAAAAAAACGGGAAGGGAGTAGGAGGGAAGTAAGAGAAGGGGGAAATTAGAATAAAACAACGTTTTTTTTTTTTTTTTAAATAAAAATGGCGCCAAAAAAAAACATAAGAAAAGAAAAAAAAATTGATTAAAATTGTTATTTAAATAAAGTTTATTTTTTTTAATGGATTCTATTAAACGAAAAATATATTATTATCATTATTACTATTATTATTATTATTATTATCATTACTATTATTATCATTATTATTATTAGTAATTCGTTTTACGTAAAATCCTATCGATAACGATATCAATGGATTATTAAAATTTATTATTATAAATAAAATCTACGGACGCCATCTTTTTTATCGCGCTCTCTCTCTCTCTTTCTTTCTCCCTTTCTCGTTACGCACGCGAATTCGATTATTTATTTATTTATTTATTATTATTATTATTATTATTATTATTATTATTATTATTAAACTTTATTTTCGCATCGAAAAGAAATTTTAAAATTTTTAAAAAAATTTAAAAAAAATATTAATATTTCATTGATTGCCATTTTTTTCCCACTCACTCTCTCTCTCTCTCTCTCTCTTTAAATACTTATGCGGTTGATTCCACTTTTTGAAATGTCGTGGAATAAGAAAAATGAAAAAGTTAAAAAAAAAAAAAAAAAGTTTTTTAAATGAAATTTTTAAGTCGTTTTTACTCCGAAAATTGAGAACGAAAATAATTTTTCCTTTTTTTTTCTTTTTCCTTTCTATTAATTAATGCAAGACAAACAACCATAGAGTAATTAAACATTCAAATAAATAAATAAAAAAACAGAAAGAAAGAGAGGAGGGAGCGGGGGGAGGGAAAATAAAATGAAAAAATCAATGAATTTTTCATTTCCATAGAACGATAATTAATGAGAATGGAAAGATTGTTTAAAACAAAACAAAAAAAATTTCCCCCGTTTTATTTTTCCATTAAATAATAATAAAACAGTGAGGGGGGGGGGGAAAACAGATAAATGAAACGTAGCAGAAGAAGACAACGAATTTTTCAAGAGGGAGGAAAACAAAAACAAAAGAGAGAAAAAAAAAAGAGGGAAAAACTTTGATTAATGATGGATGAGAGTTTTGTGGGATAAATGATGCCTTATCAAAACCTCAGAGAGTGAGTGAGAGGAAGAGAGAGAGAGAAAGAGAAAGAGATCAACATCATCATCATCATCATCATCGACGTCGTCGTTGCTACGAAATCAATACGGGAATATAATAATAATAATAATAATAATAATTTTTTTTCAACACGTTTTCTAACGTAATTCCCGAGTGCGGCGATTGGTCAAGAATTTTCCATCCAAATGAAAAAAAAAAAAAAAAAAAAAAAATGATTTATTTCAGAATAAACTGTCGTCGTTGTCGTCGTCGTTGCAGCTACGACAAATTTATTTACCCTATGAAATTATTATTATTATTATTATTTTTTTAAATATACAAAAAAAAAGAGAGAAAAGGGTGGAGGGGAGGAGAAAAACGGAAAAGTTTTAATAGAATTTATTAAAAAAAATTTTTTTTTATCCATCTGCATTTTCCTGTTTTTCTCACTCCCCCTCCTCGCTCTCTTTCTCTCTCATTTTTGTTTTGGGAGGGGGGGGGAGGGGGTTGTAATAAATCTTTTTTTTTTGAAAAATCGATTTTGTTATAATTCTAAACGAAATTTAATCAATTTTAAAAGTGACGTCATCGTTATTGTTGTTGCTGTTGTTTTTGTTACAAATTACAAAAAACAAATTATTTATAATTATTTTCGATATTAAATATATATATATATATATATAAATAAAAGCAGACGACATTTTAATTTCGATTGAAAAACAACAACAACAACAAGAAATTTTAACCGTTAAAAATCGCAAACAAATGTTTAACTTACCGGTAGAAAAAAAGGCAAACAAAGAAAATTCGCGACAAAAATTTTTTTTTTAATTAAATAAAAGAGACCGAAAATTTAATTATGGCCGACTTTGTTTGTTTTCGATAACTTTCTAATAATAATCAACTGGAAAAAGAAATTTCCTGTACGTACGACTGGAGAAAAAAAACGGAGGAAGGGTGGGGAAGAAAAAAAAGGTTTTTAAAAAAAGCATCACGCGTAAAATCGAGTATATGTGAAAAAATTCGTTACGTTCTTCGATTTAAATGTTATTTCCATCGTCTGAACATTTCACCCGGAATAAAATTTTTCTTTTTTTTTTTTTTTTATACAAACGTAAAAGTTGGTGCCACGACGTGAAACGTGTCCAATAAAAAATTTAAGGTACGTTTGATTTTTAACGTACGAATAGAAAAAAAAAAATTTTTTTTTCCGTTTGTATTTCTTCGTATTAGAATCGATCAAATCGAAAAAAAAAAAAATTTCTTTTTTTTTTTTTCAATTTGACGGGTCATTAGACAATTAAAGATTCTTTCAAAGAATAGTAATAATAATAATGATACTAATACATAATAAAAAATATACGTGACTAAAGGTTATGTAATCAAAAGAGTGAGAGAGAGAAAATGTGGAAAACGTTTTATTTTTCCGCGATTCGAAAATAATAAAATTTTTTTATTTTTATTAAAAAATGAAACGTGAAAATGTTTGACGATGATGATAATAATAATAATAAAAGCTATAGAGTTTTCAAACGAAATAGAAATTTTCCGTTTCACGATGATGATGATGATGATGATACAAAAACAATTTTTCTCGGAATGAAATTAGTAACAACAACAACCGATTTCTAGAGATAAAAAAACAATTAATCAAATTAAAAATTTAAATTCGGATAATAAATAATAATAATAACAATAATAATAATAATTTTTTGGCGGTAAAAAAAAAATCAAGGACGATAAGAAAATAATTTCCGGTTTTTCAATACCACCACCACCACAAACCACGTGTATACATACATACTAAGGGAAAATGTTTAAATGAAAGAGAGAGAGAGAGAAAAAAAACCGGAAATTAATTTGTTTTTTTTTTTGATGGGGAGGGGGAAATCTTGGAAAATCGTCTGTTTAAAAAAAAATGACGTCAACGATCGAATCACTTTTTTTTATAGATAGTATTAAAATATTGCGCGCGAATTTTTTTTTTTTTTTTGTTAAAAACGCCGCATGACGTATGAAAAGCAGAAGACTTTTCACGAGTCATTTTAATTAACCGTTAATCTATATACAGATATATTTTTATATTGGGTTAAAGTGGCAGCAGAACAAAGAATTTTTTTTTATCCCTTCTCTCTCTTCCCCCTTCTTATTCTCCTTCCTCTAACCCCCGCTTTCACTCTCTCTCTCTCTTCTCCACTTTCTCTCTCTCTTTTTCCTTTTCCAACAACAACAACAACAATAAAGACAAATTTCAACATCATTTCTTTTTTTCTTTTTCTTTTTTTGTTCTTTTTTTTCTGGCACGAAGTTAAGAATTGAGAAAAAAAGAGAGAGGAAGAGAGAGAAAGAGGGAAAGAGAAAAAGTTGAACGTTTTTTATCATGACAACGCGTTCAGTCAAAAAGAAAAAAAAAACCTTTTTTTTTCTTTTTATTTTTTTCTTTTCTTTTTGACGTCACAAATTTTGACGTATTTCACTTTTACAAATTTTCTTTTTTTTCTTTCTTTTCTTTTCTTTTGTCTTTTTAATTATTATTATTATTTTTTTTTTTTTCGCCGCACCGATTAAAACCGATTTCTTTTATATATATATTGTTTTTCTTTTTTCCCATTCCCTTCCCTTCCCTTCCTCCTCCTCCTCTTTCCTTTTTTTCCATAAAATTTCGTTAAACCGGAAACGTGAATTATTTTCATTTTATTTTTTATTTTTTTCTTTTTCTTTTTCGACTTGAAATTCTAATTGGAAACTAATGGAAAGCTAATAAATATCGTATTTCCATCTAAGGTTGTCATTTAATTTAAAAAATATTCCAAACGGTAAAATAACAAAACAAACTCAAAAAGAAAATTCTTTTTAACGGTTTTTCTTTTTCCTGTCATATTTTTCCTTGAAAGAAAACTCTCGAATTTAAAATTATATGGCCTCTTGTTTTACGTCAATTACTCGGGAAGAAAACAAAAAAAAAGATAAAGTTGGTAACACTTAA